TAGGTTTGAATCCAACATCTGGCCGGGGGCTTTTTGCATTTGCATGTTCTCCCTGTGCTTGTGTGGGTTCTTGCCAACTTCCTGCAACAGTCGAATGACATGCTGTTAGTCAGGTTATCTTAATTTGTCATTCTAAATAGTCCATAGGTGAGAATGTATATGTGAATGGTTGTCTGTTGCTTACCCCTGCGGCAGACTGATCTGTTCAGCGTATGCCCTGCCTCTTGCTCTATGGTAGCTGGCTTAGGCTCCAGCCCACCTGCAACCCTGATTTGAATTATCACTAACACAGTGTATCAGAATTCTTTTAAAATTCTTCAGATATATTTAGGCTTCAGATTTTACAACTCAAAACGATTATTCACCGTTAATCAATGTATCTATGATAGGAAGTAAAATTCATGGATCACCCATGTGATGCATGTGTAGCAGTAATAATTTAAATTCATATGCTGTTTATGTTATTTATTTTGTGGTAACAAAACAGGTTTGGTGACTACAGACAATGATTAAAAAAGGTGGAAGGGTCTTGAGCTTGTCTCACACAAGATGTTTTGCATATGGTAAAGGGTTTTAATCCCTCATCCTGGAAACCGTCACACTGTGCTTGACAGTTTGACTTGGAAATGAAAGCACAAAGAGACCTATTTGTTCTCAATATATTGTAACTTCACAGTTTGGGGTTGTCACTTGATTTAGTTGAAAGGATTCATATAAGTTTAGTGACTTTAAAGAGTTAAAGGTGATGAAATTCACCTGCTAGAACCTCTAAGGCTTAACCTACAGCAACTATTACTTTGTTTTAGAAGGAAAAAAGAAATAGAGGAAGAGGAACAAAAGTGCTGTACTCCAAAGTGCTGAAATGTTGCCAAGTGGAAACATATGACGTAACAATTGATCAATTTAACTCCTGCCACTCCCAACTTCCCTGTTTCATCGCTGGTTATTCTCACGTTTGTTCTCTTGTTTCATTTCAGACCTCTTTATCTATCTGCGCGTTTGATCCTTTAAGTCTCTACTTTTTCCTGTTCAGACTCATGTGCACTTTATGTTAACAAACCAAACAAAACTTCAGTCTATGCATCCCTCGCCCAGTCTTTTAGACCTAAACTTCTGCAGTTTCAGCAGACAGCTAATAAAAGACACTAGTTTAAGAGGAATGCACTTCAGTCAGATCTTACACAAACACATTAAGACATAAAGTCAAAAGCAAACATTAACTCAGATGTCAGTGACTATATGATTAACAGGTCAGTCATATAAAATGGTATCAGAGCCTTAAAAAAATCCTCAAATCACATGTAAATTGACTTTCATGTTTAATGTACTTGTCAATGCGCTTCCAAGCATCATGCCCATATACTATGCTACTGTCACCATGCTTATGTATATTCTGTAATCCCAGTCTGGCTGCAAGATTTTGACCTCCACCTATACTGTGTGGTGGTCAGAACAGCTTTTTCTTCTTAAGCAGTGAATTCTCTTGTTTGTATGTTTGGTGTTGTTGTGACACTGCAGAATAAATTTTGGAACCCATTTGATGGTTTGAGGCTGATCAGATGACGACTAGCTGGATAAGAGTTTATTTTAATATTACCTACAACAGTTAAAATTTTTATTAGAAGTATAAAGTGATTATAGATGGAAGCAGCAACCATGTCACCAACTGGCTTGGGAAGCCTCAGCATTTGCATTTGGCTTCCACTGTGTGTGTGTTTTTTCTTTTTAAATGAAGTGATCATATTTCAGTGAGAGCTGGAGTAAAGCCAGCATTACTCTAACATTCAGCTGAAACTCCTTTTATATCCAGAATTAACAGTGCTTAGAGTTGCTTCACTATTCCTTTTTGTGTGCATGTAAACAGGTTGGTATTATTAATAGAGAACCATCAACAAATACCACAGAAATGGAGGCTCACACATAAAAACTGTACGGAGAACCACATACATGCAAAGAGGGTCATGATACATCATCCTGTTGCACAAACAAAAAGAAACCCACCTGTCAAACTGGTAGTTTGAACAGTAGGAATGGATGGGGAGGTGGAGTAGAGGACGAATAGAGGGAGGTGCAGGAGGGAAAACGAGACAGAAAGACAGTTTTTAAAGGCACCTTGAAACAGGTTACACATCTCATTCTCTAACACACCCCATACGTGTTTGCACACTGTTTTGGACTATGGCTTCCACCACCTCAGGTGATGCTCTGCCATCAGGCGGAAGGATCTTCACCAGCTTTCCTGACATATTCTTCATCCCCGAGTTTGTGAGTTTCTTGTTTTGTAATTTGTGTTGTTAGAAGGGATGTGTTACTTTTCCATGTTGAGTTTTACCCTCTTTTGTGGTTCAGACATGTCTTATTTTTGCACAGCCTTTTCTTTTATTCTCTTTCATATGTTTGTTTAACACATTTTCCTTATTTCATTCCTTATTCAACCAGGCCAACATTATTTAAAGTAGCATCTTCTTCTTCTCATTTCTCTGTTGGAGCAGGTCTCCATTCTGATAAGATTTTTCTCATCTTGTTTTGCTGGTCAGCTGGAACCACTGTTTGATAATTGGAGTTAATAAAATGTAGCCTTTTTGGTGAAAATAATTTGTTTCCATAGCAACAGGAAAATGCTAAATATAAAAAAAACACACATTTTATTTGTCAGAAAACATCTGTGATGCAGTATCTGCACTAATCAGCCATTAGTTCTACTTTTATATCCTCAAAATGAATAAAAAAATATTTGTGCAATTTGCACAATACTTATGTTGTCACTGGCATCCTCACTTTCACTTTCACCACGATTTTCCTCTATGCTCACAATCATGGATGTAACAGGTGGTGATGGACTGAACTGTATTATATCGAAAAGTGAAAAGTGAAGATTATTAGGCTTTGTTTAGTTTTTCAGTCCAGAAAATAATAGGATGAAAAAAGTATTAACTTTGAGCTGTTAATGAAGAAGGACTGACTTTTAAAAATATATATTTCATAAACTTATCCTGAAAAAAGTTTGTGCAATATCTTTAAACCTGCATAACAGCTATTACTTTAAATGTGAGAGTGCGGGGATAGGTATTAGTACTTCTTATTTGTTTATAATGTCATATAGAGACATTTTGTTATCTAAAACATTCTCTGTATTGCTCAAACCACAAACAAAAAACCTTGTATTCTGTGACATTTTAGAATTAAAGCAAACAAGTTGTCACCTTTTTTGGCATGCATGCCCCTCATTAAAATGGCACTAAAGCTGTAAATACCAAACCCAAGCTTTATCTTTACGTTTTCTTTTGATGCATGCAACACACAGATTAAATCTGCATAACACATGGAAAGGCACCAGTAACCCTTAGATTTAAGTGCAGTAAAGTATATATCAAAGTAGTCATAAACCCTCATGGATCACTGGATGGCTTTCACTTTTCATGAAACATTATGCTGCACCAGCCTGATGAAGGCCACAAGCCAAAACGCGTTGGTCAGTTAATAAAGTTGTTCCTATTTCCTTTTAAGTGTTGCTGGAGCTCCTGCATTGTTGTGCCAGAATTATTTGCTGCTGCACAAGAATGGAAATCTACTGATAAAGTTTACCTACTCTTGTTGTCAGTGTAAATTTAACTGATAACGGATAAAAAAGGCAAATGCGGGTGAGTTTGGCTTAGTTTTTGGCAACCAAGTCATTTTCCTGGAATTACTGTGTACTGTGAAGGACTGTGAGGGGGAAAAAAAGGAAACGCTAGAGAACAAAACCACCTACACAAGGCAAGCAATGGCAATAAAGTGAAGGAATGAATTGAAAATCTCCTCAACAGTTAAGATGCTTGATGTTTTTAACATTTTTTAATTGAAACTGTCCTTAAACCTACAATTCACTAGCAGGGATCAGGCTTCACTAGACAGTGTTTATTGACAGAAAATGGCGGACAGAGTCAGCAAAGTTGTCGATTTGGTGAGGGCCTCAGGGCCCTCTGGGCAGAAAGCACTCTTGGTATCTACGTGAGAAATAAGACGAGAGCTGGGAGGGTGGGGCATAGAAATAAGAACAAACTGCAAGTAGGGCAGGAGGACATTTCACGATATATGAGTGGAAGGGGAGTGTGTGAGGTGTGGTCCCACTACTGAAATTCAAATGAATTGTGCCTCAAAGCTAACTTACCATCACACACAAACATATTCAACACTAGTTTTCAGGTTGAAGCTTGGTTATTTCAAATAATCACCGAGACCATAAACTCAGACCACATGGCTGTAGGATCCACGTCCAGCTGATTTAAAGGTATACTCCACTCAAACGCTTTCACCACCCCCTGTTGGCATGGAAACAGCAGTTATATTCAGTGGATTTCAGCTGTGATTCAGTCACGGCAACAAATTTGCCACAACAGATATAGATGCTAAAAAATACTAGTATACCTAATTTAGGTTTAGCCAGCCACCCATTCAGGTGTGCATACTGTTGTGTGAAAAAAGCATTTTTCACACTTAAAGGCTTCAGATCATCAAACTAATTTTAATATTGGTCAAAGTTTTAAAATAATGATTTCATTTATTAAGGAATTAAATCTATCCAAACCTACCTCTGTGCGAACAAGCAATTTTATCAGATTAAAGATGGAAAAAGGTTGATAAAAATATTGAGTCACAGATTAAGTCTTCACACTGACTTAAATGCTCCATTATAAACATTTTTCCTGTTGTTTTCAGTCAGAGTAAACAGTCAAGCTTTGACTGCAAGTACAGAAGCCCCACCCACCTGTTTTTTTGCATATATTTTTGTATAAATTTGTATATTCATGGTGCGTTCCCTTTTACCTGGAATGGATGTAAAATGGATATGTTTCACCTGTGTGGTTTTAGATGAGATAAGTTGCGATAAGGCTTGTGTAATATTTGTCCATATATTAAAACAATTTTTGTATGTAGAAGCACCTGTTGTTTGCTACTCTGTTCTCCATTTCCTTCATGATTCACTGTCATAAATTTCGCCAGAAAGTTCCGCCTATTAAAGGTTTAAAGAAAAAAACAGGCAGTTGTTACTTCACAATTTGACAATTAAAAAAATATTCTGACATTGTACAAATAAGATTCACAAGTAGTGAATAAACCAAAACTTCTTTGGATTTAGAAAAAAATGATATCATTAATGTTGTGTATTCTAATTCACTTTTTTACTCTTTTTTGTGATGTGGATTGTTTAAACAACAATTGACAATGACAGCTAAGAAGCATTCTAACATACCTCAAGTGGCCACCAAGACCAGAAAAGCACTACATAAATGGAAGTAAATGCAGTTATTTTTATTTATTTTACATGGAGGAGACATGTCTCACTTTAAATATACCATTTGAGATGAATGAGCAGAGTAGAGCAATGTTTGTCTGTCACAGTGTTTAATCCAGGACATTGCATGTTCTTCATGGGCACTGACTAAAAAAAATACATAGATTAGGAATAGGCTGTCCATAATTTGAGCTCTCTGTGTTTGCACAGCTGACTGAACATGATTTTGTTGTTTTTTATGGGAAGGATTATTATTTTAGTTCTTATTATTTTTATTACGTTATACCGAACTAACCTAACTAGACTTTAGTCCAGCTAAATTTATAAAAATGATTGCTAGACAAATTGATTGAGGAGACTCGAGCAGTTCTGAATACAAACAGACCTATTTCAGGTTCCTTAAGTAGCAACTGAAAAATCAGAAGATTAAATAAGTGATGGAGAATGTTCATTTTAGATCTTCACCTAAAATAAATTGACTAAAGTTCTCTTGGGTATATACTATTAATAAAATAATAAAAATTATTACAGATATCCTCCCAAAATACTCATCTGAGAAAAAGTATAAAACTGAAAAAGGCTTTTGTTTTATCTCCCAGAAGATATGATATACTACTGAGCTATTGAGAAGCAGAAGGGCTTTTTTGTTTTTGGCGCTTGTGTAAAATGTCCTCACTGGAACACCAAGATGCCAGTTTCGACTGAATGAGCCTCAGCTGCTGTTTCCTCTTGCTCAGCTCCTGCGCACCTGATACTTGAAGGTTCGAAGCTGATTGGCTTGAAGAGTGTCTGGATGAAGCCTTTAATATAAAGACAGGATAAAAACAGATCTTTTTCATAGCAGACATGTTCACTTGTTTTAGTGTGAAAGCACAAGTTTAGTCTTAGAGTGTGTCTCAGAAAGCCTTTAGGACCTCGAAACTGAATGTGCTAAATAAAATGTAGAAATGTTATTATTTACACCTGAGCTTTCCTACATTGGCGTCTCTCTGTGAAGATGGCCTAACATGAAACAGTCAAAAATTTCTGTTGCTTGTTTAAAAATAAGGAATGACAATGAATAAAAATGTTTTTCCTGCGTACACTATCTGTGACCTATGGTAAAGCATTTTAATGTGCCTCTTATCAAGGAGCAAATGGTGGAAGGTTCATGCTCCATCTAAATACCAAAGACTCTTTCAAGCATAATGTTTGCCAAAGGAGGAGATATAAAGGCTGAGGCAATACACCCAAGAGTGACAACATGGCCAGTATGTGTGTGTTTGTGTGACCAAGCCTTAGTTTAAAGGGCAGTGTACCAATTTACATGAAGCTCTGAGCAACCTTTCAGAGGGCTGGAAAATAGCTTAAAGCTTACACTCAACACTATAAATTTCTAATAAAAAACTTTACAAAGTGGGTGTGTAGAATTCCCTCTCTGTGGAAACCAAGCCACTGAATTGCAATATCATCAATCATTGTCTCTTTTCTCCTCCTCTGTGTAACCCTGCAGGTGTTTGGTGGTTTGGTGTGGATTCTGGTGGCATCGGCTAAAGTTGATCCGGCTAACCCTCTGGGCTGGGTGATGTTTGTGTCTATCTTCTGCTTCGTAATGACAACACTCTGGTTCTTCATCTTCCTCTGCGGAGGCAACCAGAGCAGCATCTGGCCAGCACTGGTTAGACACTCCCACTGACTGCTTAATAGCCTAATTAGATAAACAGTTAATAATGGATCGATGAAGTAAACCTTCAAATTCCAAATCATCTTGTGCTCAGCAGGTCTTACAGTTATGTAAATCAAACCACAGATGAAGAACAATGCTTGACATATTAAAAAGTTTTTTTTTAATTTAACAGAACTTAAGCAAAAATGCAGAGGCAATGTATGCTCCTCTAAAGCAATGCTTTTATAGGAATTAAGAGAGCAAGTAGTAATGAAAATTCGTTGATTGATTGATCATCAGCAAGTGTGGCCACCTCTGGAAAAAGAGACATTTTGGAAGTGTACTGGTCCAGAGCATTGTTATGTGTTAGCCGGATATGAAGTGTTTGGTAAAAACCAAACACAACATTAACAAACACTTTATGTGTGGTGAAAGGATGATGATTTGGGATTATTTTACAGCCACAGAAGCTGGGTATCCTGCAGTCATTGAGCCAACTGTGAATTTCTCTGTATACCAAAGTATTCTAGAGTCAAATGTGAGGCCATCTGTCCAACCCCTAGGGCTTGGCTGAAAACGAGTCACATAACAGGACAATGATCCCAAACACATTAGCAAATCTACAAAAAAATCCAAGAGTTGGAATCACCAGTTAAAGTTCAGACCTTAATCTGACGGAAATGTGTTGGACTTTAGACAATGCATACCAGTCTCAATGAATGCCCGCTGTTCTTTACAATTAGCTGTTGTAAAAGAACAGTGGGACGAAATTCCACCACAATGATATGAAAGACTGATAAAGTCATACAGTAAACGATGACTTCAAGTTACTGGGGCTAAAAGTAGGCTTAGTTTTCGATAAATAAATATGTTGTTGTTCATATGAGATTATATTTAAATTATTTTAGAACCTGCTCAGGACCAGATTTCTTTTATGTCTTGTTACATAAAAACTTAGACATAATAAATAAATAATAAAAGGTGTAATTCCATTTCTCATGTGACTGTAGTGTAGACATTGAGAAATGTGCACCAATATATTAGACATCAAACACTGAAAAAATACCACAACAAAAAGAAGAAAATTTAATTTATTACTAAAGTAAAATCGGTACTTGCATTTGAGAATTTGAACTGTCTTTACTCAGTGTAAACAATAAACAGTCTTAGTTAACCTTTGGTGTTTGTTGTTGCCACTAAGGAAAAATGGACACTGTTGTTGAATGTTGCTATTAAAAATGCAGCGATAAACAGAAACCTGACAATTAAGGACATTTTTAGGGCCTATCTTAAAGAAGGGTTATTACCTGGCAATATTCTTAAAAATGAGGTAGCACAGGGTGGCAATTGGGGTTTTGGGGGATACTTTCCCACAAGTTTTACACAGTCCATCAACCTGTCCCCACTTTGTTTGAAAATTTTCCCTTTTGCTCCCCTTCCTCTTTCTGAGAGTGCGAAGGCCCTATAGTATCTTCTCCATTTATTATTATTATTATTATTATTATTATTATTATTATTATTATTATTATTAATTTATTTATTTTTTAATTTCCTTCTTCTTATTTTTTCTCTATATTTTAATTTGCAGGATGCAGGTTATCATTTTGTGGCGGTGGTTTTCTTCCTCAGTGCATCAGTGGATCTGGCCTATGTTACCTATGGGACTGGACAACTTGCACAAGTTCTACCAACAGCTGAACTTCTCAAAATATACCGACTGTACATTTCTGCAGTGGTACGTAAAACACATAAATTTATTGTTCAAAACATTAAGGGAACTCTCAGATCTTGAAGAATGAGATATCCAAATTAAAAGTATGTACTGACATATTTTGAATTTGGATTAAAAATATGTCAGTTCTACAATGACTACTGTTCCCTAATTTGTTTATTTATTTATGATTTTTTGAGCAGCATATGAAATAAGATAAGTTCTTATATAATAAATGAACTGCTTGATGGTAATATTATATCATTATTTACTAAAACAAGTGGAAATAACGAATCTTGTACTTGTATTTCTGACAAATTCACTTTATTCTGGACAATTTTAGCACAACATACTGAAATTATCCAACTCTTTTGGTAATTTTTAAAGTAGTTGTAAAAGAACAAAGCTTTAAAATGTTTTAACAACGTAATTTGTTGAACAGTACAAATGTAGATGTGTAAACATTTCTCTTATGTCAAGGAATTGAAAATGTAATTATGGAAGATACTGAAAATACGCAAGTAAAGTATATGTGTCTCAAATTGTAATTGCTAAAACAAGGAAAGTTATCAAATCAAAGTTATAAGTTAAGTTAAAATCTTTAAAGTCTTGTACCTCAAAGTGACCATCTCCATCATCCATCTGTGTTTCTGTCTGTTTTTTAGGTGATGTCCTATGTGGCCACTCTTCTCTACTTCGTCCATGCCATATTCTCTGCCATTCGATGGAAGAGGTCCTAAAACAAGTCACCAACTCAAGAGAAAAACAACAACAAAAAAACGAATAATCACATAGCTTTCACAAATACATTGAGAGGAAAATTATTTTTATGCATTTATTTTGAATCAATATGCCCAAACATCAAATTGATGAAAAAGTGGAAAACACACTCAAACAAAAATTATATTATCACATTAGCCTACCTCACAATTTTCAATGTTGTTTTTTAGAATCCATCCATGTGAAGTGAGAATTATAAGTTTTCAGAATTAAATGTTGTTTAAAGATGGATGAGTGTAAATAACTAATGAAATTACTAATCTAAACAGAAGCAGGAATGATATTATCATAACTTTTTATTTCTTTGATTTTTCACTGTAACTTTCAATAGTATACAATTTAAAAGCTCAGTTCACAAATTTTATTGCACACTCACACACAAAAAAAACACAAATGCATTTTTTAAAACTCAAGATCTGTCCTAATTTTCTTTAAATATATTTCTGAGACATTTTAAAAAAAGATGTTTCCTTCAGTTTCTGTAAGTAAACCACGTCAATGATGTAGGCTTAAAGACAAATCTTTCTGCATCTACCATACTAGTAACACACTAGTAACATGCCCTAATATGATAGCTGAAATTTCAATATTTGCTATATATCTGTTTTGCCTGAATTAGATAGTGGAGAGAAGAAGGGACAAAAAGGGAAAGACATACAGCCTTAGGCTAGAGTTTAACAGAATTGCATCTAACCTTGTGGCATACAGTCACCTGTTCATCGTGTGAGCTAAACCAGCACCACAGCATTTAAATATTTCCAACATTTGTCACACAACTTACTTCTACAGCTTAACACAGTTAGACTTTTAGTTTGCTCTCACAAAAAAACATTTATAAAACTGAAGCAGGAAAAGCAGGAGGATTGTGACTTTAGTTCCTACAGAAGACAAGGCCAACGATAAATGGAATGCGTTCTATATTTCATCTGTTGCAACTTGATGGCCCAAGCTAAAATAATGATCACTTTGATGGTGATCTACCCATTTATTCAGCTAAAGTGCGAGCCGCTACAAGGGTATGATTGGACTGACACTAGAGGCATTGTCAGATGCATGTGTTGTTGTCTATAGTTCCGCAGTGACTGTGTTTACAATGTTAAATTGTCTTGGATTAGCAACACTTGAGCTTTATTTATATAGATATATTAATTTGTTTCATTGTGTCTTTGCTCTCATCTTATTTCTTTCAATCATAGAGTGATGTAGCAGTTACCTGCTACTAAATAGTGTTGCAGTGTAACCACTATTAGAGCTTCATTTCTGTAAAGGAGATAACGCTTCCTGCTGACAGCCTTTTAAACCAACTTCAATACACTAGATTTTGTGCCTTTTTCAAAGGCTTGGTGTTTATGCATGGCATGGCTGGCGATTTGAAATTTGATGATGTAAATGTCTAGATGATTCACTTCACACTTTTGTCTTGGAATCTCCATTGTGAAATAAAAGAATTGGACATTGGAATATTATGTGTTTTGTTTGTTGAGGGTGTCAACATTAGCAAAGACTGACAGCATGAGTCAGAGATCACATGTTGTGGGAGAAAACAAACAGCGTCAATTTCATTGTTTTCATTGTTTTGAACAATGAAATACTATGTAACAACAGACCTGAGCTGTCAGGTAAATCTTCTAATTGCACAGAGATAAAAAAGACAACAAAAACTTATACAATCCCCATTTGATTAAAACTACAGGCTGGTGAAGATTGTCCAATCAAATAGTGTAAAATACAGATTTAATACAGATGTAAATGTTCTAAGAACATTTATACCAGTCGTACCCTTTATAAAATAGAACAAGGAGTCAGTGAACCATCCCATTGGTTTATTGTTCTCCCTTTATCACTCACCTACATAATAAAATAGAGTAAGGTGAGTTGTTTTAGTAATACGCAGCATCAGGAAATATGCTTTTGAAGTTAGCAGTAAACTGATGCCTGATAAAGAGACTGGATGTTGTAATTTAACTAACACTGTAATCCAATATTACATTTTACTCTACTTAAAAATGGTCCCTTGCGTGGGACTGTTATAACATTATTCACCACTTTGTTAGGTACACCTGTTCAACTGTGGGTGAACATAAATAACCAATCAATCTGTCACATGGCAGCATCTCAGTGCCTTCAGGATTGTATCTATAGGCAACGACCTGCTAAAGTTCACACTGAGCATCAGAAATGGGGACAAAAGTTTATTTAACTGAATTTGAGAGCTGTTAGTGCCAGATGGCTTGGTCTGAGTATCTCAGAAACTGATCTGTTGGGATTTTCCAGAGGTCAGAGAAGAACAACCAGACTGCTTTGAGCTGATGTAACAGAAACTCATTTCCTAGAAAAATATCCAATGTTAGCAGTTAAATGCTCCACCACCAGCTAGTTGCAAACAAAGTTTTTTGTTTGCCTACTGTTGCTGGAAACTGATACCAGGGGAGGTAATGATGTAGAACACTAACACTTTGAGCTCATAAGCCAAAACAGCAACTAGAAACATGGTGCTATAAATGCTAAAGGGAGATGCGAGGCCTGTCAGCCCTCACACTGGACATGCTCATTTGATCCATTGTTGAAATTAATTATTGATTAGTGCAGCTCAAAACGAAGCCTTGTGTCTGTGAGATCAAAGTAGACTGTCTTAACCCACAATCATTAGAATCTATATTTTGAAAAGAAACCTGTTAAAGTCTCTGTGTGCAATACAAATAGAGGCTTGAGGCATTTTTCTAACACAAAGAAAGGGTTTATAGGTTAGTGGGAACTGAAAAGTCAGTGAAGTGTGTCTTTACTCAATAGCAACAGCAAAGATATTAAATCAGTAGACTCAACTTAGCCTGCGGCCACAATATCTCTCATCAAGTTTTTTGAAAGCCCCGTCACAAGTCACCAGTTCACATTGAATTCCAGGCAACGTTCAGTGCTGTAAGGCGAAGGGTGTGTCTGGTTTGCTGTTGTGGGAAGGGATCTCTCCCCCACAATAGCAGAACGGGTCTGACTGCTCACCTGACTTTCTTAAAAGGGTCATTTACACCTGCTGCCGCACCGTTAGTCCAGAGGAAAGAGCAAGGTGCTCACTGTTAAATCAGCACTGGGAGAAGGAAGAGGCAGAGATGGCTGCAACAACTGCTCAGCCCATGGGGAGCCTGCCCAGTGGACTGGGAATATGCACCACTGCACCGGATATATTTTACATACCTGAACTGGTAAGTGGGAAATGACAGACAACAATGACTATGATCTTCAGGTCATTAAGTATTCTCTTCAGGATGCAGTTACAATTTTATAGTTCTCATTTTAAAGTATTTTAAATACGACAAATATTTCATTAAGGTGTGCCATGGCAACAAGTTCATATATATATATGAACTTGTATATATATACAAGTTCGGCTCATATAAATACTTCATATGATGCCTAAAATTGATGCCTAAACTATTTTTTTACAGGATAAACAGCAATTGGTAACAGTGCTATGTATTGGGTGTGAGTTTAAGGATGACCAAAACTCAAACTTCTTTTCACCAAAATAAATTACCTGCTGGTATTTCTGATAATTTAGTGGTCCTATATCTCAGTGGGCCTATATCTCCATATAGTAGCCACACTGTTTTAGGATAAAAATGCACAATTTGGAGATAGAGAGTCAGTGGAGATAATTCTTCATGTGGGAGGAGCATCATCTCTCTTCACATCTCACATTTCACTTATATTGTGTCTCTGATAATAAGAAAGAATGCGGCCGGCTCTTCTTCACCCTGACTGATTACAAAGGACACTCGTATAACAACTAAAAAAACAAAACTGCACAGATAAAGATCTTTTATTCTCACAATGAATACCCTCGCTAAAGTTTTAGTTTGTTTATTTTGGCTCCGCTCAGCCAGTCATGCTGTTATATTGTATGAGTTAAAAACATGAACATTTTCATATCTTGAAGACTGATGAGTTTCGAACACAAAATGCGAATGCAGTAAGAAGCCCTTTATGAACTGTTTCAGTTCACCAATGACTAAACTGCACTGGAAACACTTGCTGTATAAACAAGTTATTTTACCTGTTCCAAAGTGTACAGTTCATTTAACAATTAATGAACTAATTAGCCAATTGTGTGGCCGGAATATAATGGATTTAAGCACATAGATATGGTCAAGATGACCCACTGAAATTTGAATTGAGTGTCAGTATGGGGACAGGTGATTTAAGTGACTTTGAGTGCGGTATGATTGTTGGTACCAGATGGGCTCCTATGGGTATTTCATAAATTGCTAATCTGCTGCTATTTTCCCACAAAACAATGTCTAGGGTTTATAGAGAATGGCCAGAAAAACATAAATGCCAGAGAACTCTTTCATGCTGAAGCAACAGTAAGTCAAATAGCCGTTTTTTTCCAGCCATCTCTAAATGCCTATCCTCGAAGTAAAGTACGGGTGACAAGCAGCAGAGTACCATACTTGGTGGGAACCCAGGCTAGGATCACCAAATTTGGACAATAGAAGACGGCAAAAGTGCTGTGTGTCCCGAGGAGCCTTGAATTTACTGTAAGCTTTGAATCTGGCCTAAACATGGCTACATTCTGCATTGTTTTAACAGTTTAGGTTCCTGTTGGTGTAAAAGTCTGGATGATAGTTTCTTAGCACATGTAGTACCAATTCAGAATTGTTAAAATACCACATCCTACCTGAATTTTGTTGCTAACCATGTCCATACATTTATGGATACCTCTGTTTATTGTGACCTACTGGCACAATGAACAGAGAGACTACACTCATAACATTTGCCTCCCTTTTTAAGCTGTCAGTGAAATGTCCTTGTGTTTTATATTCGATGAGTCAGATAAATATTTTTGATATTTATATTCATGCACTGTTGCCTGTTCTTATTTCCTGGTTATGATATTAGAATTTAAAAGACAGCTCTTGACTTATGAAGGAACTTTAATTAGGTTTAGACTAAAGGTAAATAAAAACAATCATATTTGAACGTTATGCTTAGCTAATGATGGCAAGCTTGACTGATAAGGTGAACGCAATGTATAGAAACAGTAGAGACAGAGATAAGTGTTTGAATGGGCTGTTGAAAATCAACATTACCATCAATGTTTATTAAGTGTGGTAATATAAACCCTTAAGTGTGTATTTCAGATATTTTTTTCCATTAGTCTTAGATGAGCCCAAAATTGAAACATTGATCCTTGTATTTCTTTTGAGGTGTTTTGTCTGAATAGAGGAACAAACATTTTCCCAGTAAGGCGTGAACTCCTAACCTTAGCAATGGTCTGAAGTACACTAAAGTTGAAGATAATTTGGTGATTGCTTTATTTATGATGTTGTAATATCAGAAAGCTTCCACCATCTGCTGGCTAAGTCTGTTTTAGATTTCAATTTTAGATTTCCCCTGGATTTCAGTTGTGGACATCATTGTTCTGCGATGTCCCAGTTGTGGCTTTTGTGGGTTTTAATGAACACGTGGAATGTTCATTTAGGATTTCAGATTGCAATCTGAAATAACTGCAAGTTATGAGTTAGCGTGATTATAAATTCCACATCAGTCAAGCTCCAGTATCACAATTGGTCAGCGTGTGGTACTTATAAGTCAGTACACTGCAGAGCAATGCCAACATTGTGAGTTAATAAATGACATCACTGAAGCTATTGAGCACTGTGGCCCTTCTTCATACTCAGATAATTTACAGAAATCCTTAAATGATGGATGTAATTTCTCTTTCTATGGCAAGTTTGGCTTAAAGGAACAATCCATATTGCACAGTAAGCACAGGATAAAGCTCTTTTAGAGTAACAATGTTATATTTTAAATCCCACACGACCACCTGTTTTAAAGTCTTTAATTACTGGTTGCTTTTTATGCAAGATTAACTTATTTTAAGCATGTCATGTGTTTTGCATTATGCACTTAGGTCATATTTATGGTTATTTTTAGTTTAAAATAAAATTGAAATGGCTTTTACAGAGCCTCCTTATAATTTACCATGTAATGTTTAATAAATTAGCAAACTAATGAATTTAGTTGTTTTTAATTCAATTCAAGTTAATGTTATGTTAGTGTTGTTTTTTTGTTTGTTTTTTTGTTACATATTTTATCTTTTTTTAGAAAGCTCACATTTTGTTACCATTGCCACTGTTTCTAGTCTTCTTGCTTAACTTAGCCCAGCTGAGCTAAGCTTAGGTAAACTAAGGTTAAATGTGCTGGCTGTAGATTCTTATTCGCTGAATATGTCCAACTCTTCACTAGAAAAAGAATATGATGGATTCCCATTAGTTCTCATAAATGTTATAATTCAATGTGCCATCTCCATTCACGCTCTCTCTTCTTCATCTCTGCAGGTATTTGGTGGTTTGGTTTGGATTCTAGTTGCATCGACACACGTGGCCCCACCGAACCCTCTGGGGTGGGTGATGTTCGTCTCTGTTTTCTGCTTCGTCATGACCTTCCTCTGGATGATCATCTTCGCTGCCGGAGGTCATAAAAACAGTTCTCCCTGGGCTGCTGCTGTAAGAGAGATGCAATAGTCAGACAGCGAATAAAATTTAGAAAAATTAATGGGTTATGACCTTGTTGTAAAAATGTTTTAATCTCTGTTTGTGAAGGATTTTGCTTACCATGGCCTGGCAGCGCTCTTTTTTCTAAGTGCAGGGGTGGATTTGGCTATCATCACCATCGGGGTGAAAGACCTTGACCTTAAAATCTACAGGACTTACATTTCTGCTGTGGTAAGTACAATAACTCAATACAATAGAGCTGTCCAAAATATTTGTTCAAATTTATTTTTATTTAATATATTTAATTAATCAAAGTATTTAAAATTATTTTGACTTCTTTTGAATACTCAGGAAATATACCTATCCAATTCCTCCAGCATGGCTAATCAATACATGCCATAGTCAGAGGTTTACTGTCTTCCAGCAAAGTCTGGGAGACAGTCAAAGAGCATGGAGGAAATTCCAGGATTATCCTGGAAGAACTGGACAGGGCCGTAGAAGGCCCCCAAAGCAGGACTGGCATTTGTGCTCCTTTGTGCAAGGAGGAATGAGCACTACCAGAGCCCTAAAAAACAACCTCCAGCATGTCACTGGTGTGCATATCTTGTATCAAATAATCAGAAACAGACTTTACAACAGCTGCCTCAGGGCCGAGTGTCCTCTAGTTGGCTCTGCGATCACTGCCTAGCACTGTGCAGCCCGAGTGGCAATTGCCATAGAATATCAGAAATGGCAGGTCCGCCACTGGTCCACTGGTGCATTGTGCTTGTCACAGATGAGAAAAGGCTGATCTTTAGCACATGCGTCTGCACGTGGGGCCCACACAAAATACTGAGTTCCATTTTGAGTTGCTGCAAAGAAATTTCAGAAAAATGGACCAGGCTGCTGCATTATTTTTGAATTCAGCCATCTTTAGGTTGAAAATTATGTGGCATCCTTTCATTTCTAACACATAACCTAGGTCATATCAATACAGATATCCAGAATGATTTTTTTCCATTGAAATCTGATTTGTTTTAAAAGTGTTCCTTTAATTTTTTTGGACAGTATGTTAATGTTGAGATAAAGTGATCAGAGATTGCATAATAAACTATAAACCAGGGGTGGGCAACTCCAGGCCTCGAGGGCGGGTGTGCAGGTTTTAGATATCACCCTGGGTCAACACACATTAGTTCATTACCAGGCCTCTGAAGAACTTCAAGACATGTTGAGGAGGTCATTTAGTCATTTGAATCAGCTGTGTTGGATCAAGGACACATCTAAAACCTGCAGGACACCGGCCCTCGAGGCCTTGCTATAAACAGTATATCATCTAAAGAACCAAACTACAGCGGGTAGAAGTAGATTTTCAACATGTTTTTTTTTTAATTCAACCTGACCCAAAACCAGTGAGTCTGCTCAATTCAAACAGGACATGCAGAACAACATTAATCAGTGACCTAGTTGGTATGGGTAGAGCCAAGGGTACTTATGAACACACATTGATTATTAGCTTAAAGAGGTGGAAACTTCATGTGAATTTCCTTTCACTTCAGAGAGAGCCACCTATGTTTTTTTTGCCTTTCACTAAGCTAAGCTAACTGGCGTTTATATCTAGTATTCCATGTAATTCTTGGCAAGAAACCAAATATGGATTTCCCAGAATTGGATTAAAAAGAAAACTGAAACCGGAATAATAATGCAAAGGATGGACTTGGCTTTAAGTATGTTCTTTGGTTGTGTTTGTTTGTGTTTCAGGTGTTCGCCTTCGTGGCCACACTCCTGTACTTCATCCATGCCATTCTCTCAGCCATCCGATGGAAATATTTCTGAAGAGTGAATAGCAGAGCTGCAAGAAAGTAATACACTCCATCTGCTGTGCACATCTATGCCCCTGACTGTCTATGTGTGTCTTTGTCTGTTGGATAATGTATTTAAGTCACATTAGATTGGTCAGAATTGGTCTTCACTGTATGTGAGAGCATGACTTTCTTGCTTTGCAACATTATCAAAATACCAAATACTCTAACATACAAAAACTCACACAGCATATACCTGAGGTCACAGTGAAAAACTGCATCCCATCCTTTTTTTTGGCATAACAGAGTATATTGTGAAATTGGTTACGACTTTGTAAAGGAGAACTATAGATTTTAAAGCAGAGAAAAGACGTAAACAAATCAAAACTTATATTCTATAAACTATAAAATTCAAAGAGTAAATGATCAACTAGACAAAAGTCATATTCTTTTAACCTCAAACCTCAGAATAATGTTGTCGAGCCAGTGATTACATCTTCACAAAAAGAATGGGTCATTTTTTTCAACAGTTTAGAGAATATGGTGTCAATGCTGTTATTGTAGAATAAAATTCATCACAAACATACAAAGCTGGTAGCATTAAATACATTAAATGCATACTTATATTTTATGTTTCTCCCTTTGTATTATCTGTGTTTAAATATTAATAATATAACTGGACTTATTAAAGAAATCAAATACATGCATGTCATTAAAAAAATTAAAAAGCAAAGAGTAAAAGACAAAATAAGAGGAACAGAGTTAATGTTGCTGGATTAAATTTTTATAGTTTTGTATTCTGAAGATTATTAAAATAAGAAAATGAACTACACTCGTCTGTATTCTTTCGTTATGTGCTCCATTTTCTCTATAAAACATCAAAAGAATCTTTGAGTTACTTGTGAGAGGCATTTGCACTCATTGGAGTTTGGTTTAACTGCTGTTATCCTTATTCTTCTTCAGAGCTGATGTTCAGTACCAACATCAAACATAATTTGATGTTTTGAATACCAGCTTTCCTTTTATTGCAAAACCATGCACATTAAAATTAAAAGAAGAATAAGAGATTTCACGGTGTTTAAAATACTCTAGTCACGGGGGGTCAAAAGAAATGAAATATCAAATGACTACTTGTCTTCACATAAAACAACAACAGAGTTATATAAAAGTTTAAATTTGCATTTAGGCATCATGAATGTATCGTCATTGACTCCGGAGGTAAGGATGTCTTGACTTGATGAGCATGAGTTGCACACAACCGCCAATGGTGCAATTAGTCAGCACGCAGTACTTATAAGACAGTAGATTGTAGAGCAAGGCCGAGGATGAGAATTCAAACCTCAACTGCAGCACCCCACCTGCTCTCATGAGGGTTGCTTTCTCTGAGACTGTTTTCGGTCCAGGTATTGGATAAGAACGACCTTTTCTACATTACCAGTATAAACCCTCTGGATGTGTGCACCCC